AGAAAGAAAGAAAGAAAGAAAGAAAGAAAGAAAGAAAGAAAGAAAGAAAGAAAGAAAGAAAGAAAGAAAGAAAGGCTTCAGGCGGAGGTAAAGTGCTTTCATCGGTTGGGGATGATGGGAGAAGGAGTCCTCCCCCTCTCCAGCAAATCACCAAGGCTGAGTTAAACGTGGCACCAGCCAAGACTTTCCACGCGTGTTTCTTTCCCCACCCAACTAGAAAAGTTCCACCCCCGATGCATGGAAGGGGGGGTGGAGAAAGAAGCAGCAAAGCAGCCCCGCCCATGCATGCATGCAATGCATCTCTGCATGCATGCAACCCCGCAGCCTTTTGGCGTGCGTGGGTTTCCAAAGCCAGCCATGCCAAAAAAAGGGGGGGCGCAATTGCCCATCCTCACCTGCCAGGATCGCCTTGCCCGGGTGCGTCAGCTTGACTTTGCCGGCCGGGGCTGCGGCGGCCAGGCAGCGGGGTCGGGCGAAGGGGCTGACGAAGCCCGCGGCCGGCGGGGTGGAAGACATCGCGGCTGCGGGAGGAAGAGGAGGAGGAGAAGGAGGCGGCTGGTGCCAAGCAAGCGGCCCGCTGCTCGGATATACCCCTCCGGGGGCGTGATCGCCGCCGCCCCCTTTCTTCCCTTCCCACCCCACGGGCAGGCGGGGCAGCCAGGCGTCACGGCTCGCCCGGGCTCGGGAGGCGCGGCCAGCCGCGGGGAAGGTGGAGCCGGCTGGCAGCGTGCACGGCGGTGGAGGAGGGGTTGCGTTCACACGACTGCCCCGCTTTGCACGCGTTGGAGAGCTGGTGGATGCATGGAGCGAAGTGGGCGCCGCCGTCCCCCCCACACCCCTGGGAAGCGTGCACGGGAGTGGAGGGGTTGCATTCACACGACCCACCCACCCTGCTTTGCAAGGAGGGGGAAGCTGGTGGCGTGGACGCTGGCTGTGTGGAGCGGGCGCCGCCCCCAACCCCTGGGAAGCGTGCACGGGAGTGGAGGGGTTGCGTTCACACGACCTCCCCGCTTTGCATGGAAGGGAAACGTTGTGGCTGCGTGGAGCGGGGTGGGCGCCGCTCCCAACCGCTTGGCAGCGTGCGTGGGAGTGGAGAGATTGCGTTCACACGACCTCCCCGCTTTGCATGGAAGGGAAACGTTGTGGCTGCGTGGAGCGGGGTGGGCGCCGCTCCCAACCACTTGGCAACGTGTGTGGGAGTGGAGGGCTTGCATTCACACGACCCACGCTTTGCACGCAGGTGAAAGTTGGCAGCCAGCACGGTGGGGTTGCATTCACGCGACCCCACTTTCCCCAAAGCTGGTGGTGTGGATGCCAGCCTGTTCCTGGCTGCCCCCCCAACCCCTTGGCAGCGTGCACGGGGGTGGAGGGGTTGCATTCACACGACACCCCACCCCCCCGCTTTGCACGGAGTGGAAAGCTGGTGGCAGCCTGTACCTTGCTGTATGGAGAGGAGTGGGCGCTGCCCCCCCCCCACTCCTGGGAACCCTGCACGGGAGTGGAGAGGGTTGCATTCACACGACCCCATTTTGCACAAGTTTGTGACCAGCCTGTCCCTGGCTTTGTGTGGGTTTTCTCGTGCTCCCTTACACGGGGAAGGTCTCTGCCAGGCACTTCCTGTGCAACCCAACTACCAAATGGGGTTATTTGGGGAAGGGGTTGTTCTTAACACGAGGGGAGGCTTCTGCACAAGAGGTTCAAAGGAAGTTCCGTTTAAAGGCGAGGAAGGAGAGCGTTTTGCTCTCTGCTTCCGCACTGCTACCTGTGCAGTACAGGTGCGTCCCCTAGTGGTGACCAAGGGAATTTCAGGGGCTCAGGTTTTAAGCGCGTGTGGCCCTCTAGTGGTCCCTAAGAGAATGTCACCCAGGACTCCCCCAGTCACCTGAGCATTTATTTACCACTTCCTTGTTCCCCAGGTGTGACCCGAAGACTAGATCTCTGGGGAAGCCTCCTAAGCTAGGAAAGGTGAATCTCAGGTACAGGTAGTCCTCTAATTGCGACCGCAGTTGAACCCAGAATTGAAGTTGCTAAGTGAGAAATGTGTTAAGTGCCCCATTTTACAACTTCTTGACCGATCTGGGAAGTGAATCACTGGCAGTTACTAAATGAGTAACACGGTTGTTAAGTGAAACTGGCCTCCCCACCGACTTTTGCTTGTCAGGTAGTCACCAAAGGGGAATCACGTGAGCTGGCGGACACTGGAACCGTCGTAAATACGAACCAGTTATCAAGCATCCGAATGTAAATTGGATGACCCTGGGGAGGCTGTGAAGGTCACTTAAGAGTGAACAACAGGCACGTGACTTGTGGGCCGCCAGCAGAGCTGGAGCAGAGTCAGACAGTGAGGAGTTAGGGGAGAAACCTCGGCCAGTCCTGGAGTCTGAGGAAGACTCTGATGAGGGCTCTGTGTCAGAGGCAGAGAGGGGGCCAGGGCAGTTATCAGCTGCCTTCAGAGTCTGAGATCAGTGGGGCAGAAGAACAGCTGGAGCCTGTTCCCAGTGTGCACATGCGCAGAGTTGCCAGACGAAGGGAACAACTAAAGAACAGGGGTTGACTTGGGAGTAAGGCCACAGGTGGACAATGAATGGCCCC